AGACTGGCAGTTGTGGTGCATGAGCCAGCTGAACAGCTAAGGCAGACATAAACCCAGTCAAACCCAGAACTTGCTAAGATCTGAACCCTGAGATGCATGAGAAAATAATGTTCATTGCATGCCCCGGAATTCTGAGTGTTTATTATGCAGCAACACTGTGACAAGATATCATGGTATATGAAACCTCTTCCTTTCTTTCACTAGTTACAAGAGCCTAGAGAATCAAATTTCTTCCTACTGAGAGACTGACTTCTAACTAAATAGAGCATTAAGGACAACCCAAGAAACGCCTACGAGCCAGTTAATCTTCTGTAGGGACCAAGGAAACAGAAATACAAAAGTGACTCTAAAAAAGGATAGATTTTTCTTGCTCTTGAAATCTACCACAACTATGACTCCAGGGCCCGATACCACATGTCTGCAAGCACATCTTCCCCTCCCTTAAGTTTTTCCTTCTTAGCAAAGTTACAGAACCGGTTCACGTTCTGTGGCCAAGAATTTCCAAAATGCTCATCTATTCAAATTCCCTCTCTAGTTTCTAACTGTGCAAATTAGTCCAGAGGAGTAGTGAATTACCTGCAATCACATAGCAGAAGCTTAAGCCAGAACATAGCTCCCCACTAAGGGCTCACACCACCAGGCTCTAAAAAGACCACCCACACCTGCCACAGCTTTACTTTCCCTCCTCCACCTTGTGACACCTGGCTTCAATTCACAACTACAGTTGTCTTGGGAAAACTCCCCTCTAGCCGAAGATACCCTGGTACTAGGGGAATGGCAATTCAGGGGCCTTAAGACTTAAAGACTTCTGCTCATATTCCAATTCTACCACTCAGAGCACTGTAACCAGCAAATTAAATTTCCCTGTAAGCTTAGTATGGTGAACAGAGTTTGGTGGGGCTCCCCAATTAAAACAAGCTTGGAAGCAAGAGTGGCATCCACTTCTGAAATAGCTTGCCTCCAGAAACCCTATGAACTTGGAGAAAGGATGAAAGTTATAGTGTTCACGTCTTTCATTCACAGGGTCACTATGAGTCACCTACAACTCGATGGCACTTAACAACAACAACAAGCAGCTTAGTCCCTCATCTATAAAATGAGGATAGAGTCACTAGCAATAACCTTTGCATGTCTATGTGAAGATTAAATAAGATATGCAAACTGCTTAGCAGCAGGCTTGCACAGAGCAAGAAATCAGTAAGTGATTCTAATTTTTACCCACTAAGTCACTTTAAAAGAAAAGTACCAACTCCTCCCCAGCCACGGATGCTGAAGAATCAAGCTAGCACCTGCATGTGTGGGCCTAAATTTTCCTTTTATCCCTGAGCAGAGCTGTTCAAAACTGTTAACATGGTGCCAACCTCCCCACACTGCAAATGTTGGATCTGTTACAGCATGAAGAAAACAAAAAACAGGAAGTGCTTCAACTAGAGACTCCAGAAATAAAACCATTTCCATAGACACTCTTATTATAAATGCAGACTTAAGCAATAGCCCTGAATGTCTAACCAAAGAATGTGCACATTTTTTAAAGAGGAGGGACCTGACTCATCTGTTCTCTCAAGATTAAGGACCACAGATCAACAGGAAAGAATGGTTTCCTATTTTGCTGTAAATACTTTTACTTTCCCGAGAGAGAACAGAATTTAAAGCCTTGACAAACAAGTGGCCCTCACCAACCACTCTTAATCTCCATGTTAAAAAGGGGAGCTAAGTAGTCCCAGGAAAGGGATCAAGTGAACTCACTAGAGATAGATTCTCAACAAAGATTCTCTGAAAGTAGAACTTCAATCTTTTACTCCACACTGAGGGTCTTACAGAACTACCAGCTGTGGAACCTTCACACTAAACAATGATTAATTTCCAGCACCTATAGAGTCATTCCAAGTGAAAAGGGCTAAACAATCTAATATTGTTCTCCTTTTCCAAGTGTTAGTTAAGTCCTTTAAGATCTCTATAAAATGGCTGTTTAGTTGTGGATCAGGAGCCCTGGCGGCACCATGGTTAAAACTTGTGGTTAAGCTAACTTAAAGGTCTACTGTTTGAAATCATCATGCTGTTTTAAATCATTCATGGAAGAAAGATGGGGTTATGTGCTTCTGTAAAGATTTACAGCATTGGAAATCCCATGGGGCAGTTCCACGCTAAGATGAGAGAAAAGTGACCGGAAGACAGTGGCTAAAAAGATGACGAGCACCCCGTTATGTACGGAGGCAGAGGGAGAGGGCTCCGGCCCCCTCGGCGTCATGTCTTCGGTGCTGGTGGCTTCCTGTCTGCCGGTTCTATCCTCAAGCGCCGAGACAAAGGTAAAAAAAAAAAAAAGATGACGAGCAATTATATTAGACTCCCTACTCCTCCTCAACGCTCTCTGGAGCCCTCATCCAATTTATTGTCTGCTCAGCCAATGCCTCAGCAAAACCACCACGGAGGTTAAGAGCAGTTAGAAAGTCAGGTCCAACCTTCTAAACTTGAATCCAAGTTAAGTCTTCACTATATCCCTGGTCACCTGCTAGCAGAACAAACAGGATAAAAGTATCTTCTATAGGAAATAAAGGAGATACTCTGTCACCAAAGCTTCTCTTTACCACATCATTAAGCTGTGATGGTCCTTGTTACATTTGTTGTTTGAGGGTTTTTTTTGATATAATCCCTGCTACATTTGTAAGGTGGAGGCAGTAGCTGCTTGTTTGGGGACTTTAGTAGGCACCACCTTCCTTTTGAAGGCCTAAGGAAAGACAAACTACACTTCAAATGTAATCCACATCTTGGCCACCTAACTGGTCTAACAGCTGGAGAGGTAAAGAAGTGGTGCAAAGAAAGTTATTTTTGCAATATGCAAATATATGCTCACAGTTTTGATCCTTTCAACTCAACATCTTCTCAGTCTTAATTTTCATCCTAAAGCCAAAATGTTCTGGTCAGCAAAAGATCCAGCAAGGAGGATAATAACTTTATTGAATAAAGTCAACCTGGCCTCATGGCCAACCATAACAGCAGCACTAAGAGGCCGACCTACCCTGACATTCATTCACTGTAGAGCTCAGGGACATATCCCGTATACGCTGGGGGAGGGGGCGGGGAGGAACGAAGACAAAATTAGACAGACAATAAAGGTTTAATTAAGGCTATGAATCTAATTACCTAAGTGCCAAGATTCTGACCATCTACCGGTAAACTACCACCAATCCAGTGGTGGTGGTGGGGGTGTATGGAGGAATCAAAGCTGACCCTCCAGTGGGTTTTCAGAAGCAAAGAGGGTTTTCTTTCTTCCACAGAGAAACTGGTGGATTCAAACAGTTTACCTTTAGATTGCCAGTGCAACTCCTTACCACAAGGCGATCAGATCTCCCCATCAATCTTAGTACTAGCAAATTTGGGTCAAATTCCCTGTACTGTATCCTCACATGTTTTGGGGGATTTTTAAAATTATTTTCTTCTAGGGAGCTCTGGTGGCCTAGTGGCAAGACGCTACATTGCAATCCCAGAGGTACGTAGTTCAAATCCACCAGATGCTCTGCTGGAGAAGGAGGGGGCAATCTCCTCCTGTACGAGTCAGACCTGATTTGACGGTACACGTAAAAATAATACAATAAAAGTAAAAAAAAAATAATAATAATAATTATTTTCTTTCTTTAGTCACCTCTTTATTTTTTAACAGCATATTCTTCCCATTTTTTTTTTCATTCATTGATTGTTGCACATTTTCCTCTTGCCCACCCCTCCTGAGTCTGCTTTTCTCTTTGAAAAGAAAAAAAAATTCCCTCATTATTATACAATCCTCTGCCCTCCCAAGTCCACAGTCTACTTCACTATGCATTTCTTTTTCTGGAATCTTGTTATGAAAATAATAACTAATCATGTATTCCTTTTAAACAGTTCTCTCCCTCATCTGCCTCAATGCAATATATATCATCCATCCCTTCTTTTCCTAGATTCCTCCAACCCCAATGTCAGTCCCGTTTTACAACAGTGGCACTATGCAGTATTTGTCCTTTTGGGACTGAGATATTTCACTCAGCATAATGTCCTCCAGGGTCACTCATTTTATATAATATTTCATGAGTTCTTTGTTTTTCAATGCAGCGTAGTATTCCATTGTATGAATATCCCACAACTTCTCTATTCATTCATTTGTTGATAGGCACTTGGGTTGTTTCCAACTCGTTGCTACTGTGAACAAAGGCGCAATAAACATGGGTGTGCATATATCTACTTTGGTGACAGTTCTGGTTTCTTTAGGGTATATTCCCAGTAGTGGAACTGCTGGGTCAAATGGTATTTCTATTTGCAACTTTTTGAGAAAGCACCATACAGCCTTCCATAGTGGTTACGCTATTATACATTCCTACCAACAGTGAATTAGGTTTCAAGTTTCTCCACAACCTTGCCAGCATTTGCTGTTTGCTCATGTTTTAAAATCTGGCAAAGACATTGTCACTAAGTGCTGTAAGCCAGAATGTCCCACCTTTTACTAGTGACTCTGATGCTACAAACCATCTTCAACTACTTTGTACACACAAAATATATTTTAAAGAAATGTTTGCTGCCGATCCTTTCAGTTCTAGGATATACACAAATTCTTCAAAGAAACATTAAGATGTCACTTCAGCAGCATATATACTAAAACTAGAACGATACGGAGATTAGCATGGCCCCTGTGTAAGGATGACATGCAAATTAATAAAGTGTTCCATATTTTGGGGGAGAGGAAATATTAGGGATTTATTTCATCAATTAAGGACTTCTAGTCAGCAAAAACTCTTCTTAGACGAGTGACAAACTATTATGTGACTATTTTAGACAATGACTGAAAGTTAGAGAGCAAAGAACTAAACCCCTTCTTTATCCAGCTTTCTCTCTATTTATAATCGGCTAATTTCTGACACACTAACTTCAAAGGCTTTCTTTCTATCCAGTGTTACTACATACTGAAAACGTATTATCAAACCAATTCCCCTAAATGTCCTGAGTGAAAAACAATTTTTATTAAAATGCCTTACCGTCTTTGTTAACCGCAGTGACTTTGGCTGGGTAAAAACGACAATCAGACCAGCAAGCAAGGACCTGCTCATTTATTTGAAATTCCTAAAAAACATTAAAAAGGAAAAAATATCTTGTTACCAATCCATTTTGATAAAACACAATGATCATAACTTTGACATGAGATTGGTAAGAGAAGGTATTGTTCAGTGCTAGAAGGGCTAGGACATGAGACTTCACTAGGCCTGGGAGAAGTGGTTGATTAAAACTCACGACTGGAATCCTTGCCCCTTGTGTAGTTAGTGGAGAAGTGACCACCCTCATATATTCACTGCACTGTTTTTACGGTTGGGCCTTCTGCTTGGAACACCTTTCTGCTGTTCTTTTCCCAGGCTGCTTAGCCACATTCTTCAAGGAGCTCTTCAAAGTTCTCTTCCCAGATGGATTTAACCAGAAAGGGGAGAGTCTTGAGTGAAGGCAAGAAGCCTTTAATGGAGTGCCTGGGGACCATGTGTGTGCTGCCAATTTCCAGAGTGATCCACTGACCTTTCAGATATAATTTTGGGCTCTTTGCCTTTCATACTCTTCAATGACTAAATATTCTCTCTCCTCACTTCTCCTATTGCTCTTTCTTCTCTCTTAAAAATTCCTTTCAATTCCAATTTAATTAAGAAATCTTGATTCTTTCTATGTAGGGTCATCTGCCCCAAACATTTTCAAACATAAGATTCTTTTCCTCATCATGAATGATTTAACAGATTTCCCACATTTTAGTTGTGCTTTTAGTATCTTTATTGAAAAATATGCACAATAAGCACAAAACTAGTATCAAGAACACTTTAGAGATATTTATATTTCATTTTCTTGATAATATTTCCATATTTAAAAAATAGTACAGCTATGACATGATATGGTGGGGGGACAAAACCAACTCAGGACTGATGGTTCTACCTTCTCAAGGACATGCAAAGAAAGCAGGCCTATGAAACCAAAACCACCAGGACATACACCCATAATATATGCTAAAATAAATGAGATCTCTTCAGGGAAGGAGCAATTATTCCACTTAAAACCATTCACTTCTAAAGGGCCACCAGCACGGAGACATATATGACATATATCTTTAATATGTCATACTGCTTTCTCAAAACTCTACAGAATATTCCATATTCAGTTGGCACTGATGAATTTTGTGGAATACTGAGCAATCTTGGTAGAGAAGAGACAAACATCTTAAACCCTACTCTAAATTGTGGGTGAGTCAGAGTTCAAACAGTAAACAATCCAGGCTAATTCAGAGTGGAAGACAGTTGTGCTACTACTGTCTCAATGTCTCTTAAGAAAAATGCAAAACTGACACTTTCTTACTTCATTCAGAAGTCAGGTAAAACCTTAAGGCATAGTGAGAAAGTTTAGAAAATGAGAATATCATTAAATCAACTCCAAGTTTTCTGAAGGCTTATAGCAGATCTTGAATATGAGACTAACACTGTGCTCCACACAGAATGACTGCTTAAGTCATTCACTTAGTCAGCAAATATTTACAGAAGACTGGAGGGCTAGAGGCTAGAGACAAAGTTATAAAATAAGAGACAAGGTCCCCAACCACCATCAACTTGAAGTCTCAACTAAACCAATTAATGAATGGTCACATCAATCACATAACTTGAATAAAAACAAACGGAGTACTCAAAAGACCAAAGTGCAACTACAGGCCTAAATGAAACTACTACAAAATTTCATACTCAAGATCATGAATGGAAAAACCAACTGAATCATGGCTGACCCCGCTCATTACAGAATTTCCCAAAATTGTTACTCACAGATGATCCTTCTTCTCCATGTAAGCCTTCTTTCCTCAGCTGTATTTTCTCTAAAGGACGTAAGTAAGGACTGTCCCAACAAAACCATTCATCATAACGATGGTTCCAGCGTTTGAAATGGATGAGAACTTTTCCTTCTTCATAATCAATGTCTTCTATGTGAGCTGGATACCTGAGTCAGGTAGGGAGAAATTGAAATGCCTTTAATACCCACCTAAAATACCCAAAATGGTACATTTTCAAACCTCTTTCCAAAGAAACAAATTAGCAAAGTAACAAGTTAAAACCCATCACTTAAGGGCCGTAAGAGTTAAATGGTGAATTATGGGAACAAGCACTTTGTGGTTCAAATCCCAATTTGGCCACTCATACCATTAACTATCTAATAATCTTTCAGAGACTGAGTTTCAAATACACTGGGTTGCAGTGAAGGTTAAACTAGGTAATATATACATTAAGATACAAGCACACAGAAGCAAACATCTAACTAGATTCTATTTTACATATACCAATAAATTAGAATGGTATAGTATGCTGAATTATGTAATAGTGTCACCGAGAACAGAGCAGTCCTATTCACAGCTCTGAAACGGATATGAAAAGATAATTATCTAATTAGGTATCAGGGGGACAAAAAAGGGAGAAAGACTTTACAAGACCTTTTCTAATTTTTGACCACTGAAATACATTTTTAATTCTAAAAATGATTTTTTTAAAATTGTATGAAGCTATTTTCTTAATATTACTACATTAAATCAGACCCCTATGCAAATTTCAGTACTACCCATATTTTCACCCTTCAACTTCAATTTGCACCATGTCCTTTCCTTTCTTGCAAACACCTGGTACAGTGCTGACCTAATAAATATGAGCTGCCTAAAAGAAGAGGCCAGCTTTCTTGTTCTGTATACTATATCCTCCTCAATCCTACATGATTATCCCCTAAGGTAGTTAGTTACTTTGTCAATAAATTATCACAGCACCTTGTACACACCAAGCACTCAACAAACACTCAGCAAATTAATTCCACTCTTTCTGTTCTTCCCAAAGGTCACATATGTCATCAATTCTTCAATTCCAGAGAACTCAGACGCCAACCACACTTTCCAATTTCTTTCATTCCCAAGTTCAGACTCCATCACTTTAGTTGGGAATTCCTTACAAAAGACTGAGAGAAGATGTTTGTTCTACAACAAAATTTCTCAAAGAGCTACATATACAGGTAGTAGCACAAAAATTATTAGTAGAAGAAATAAACAACCCTGAAACTAAACTCCCTGATCTAATCCAACTGATATACACCTGCTACAAACACAAAAGATCTTGACCGTTGATTGGCTAATAATGTGATCTAATGAACTGCAAAGGACAATTGTAGGAAACAGGAACTCAATCCAAAAGCAAACTTACTGTTGCTGAGTCAATTCTGACCTCTAACACGAAAACTCACTGCCACAGAGTTGGTTCTTACTCCCAGCTACCCTCTGTTGGGTTTGTGAGACTGTAAATCTCAATGAGAGGAGGCTGCCCATTTTTCTCTGGATTCAAACCAGGGACTCGCAATTAACAAAGCAACATACTACAGACTATGCCAAAGGATTCCCTAAATCCATTCATCTCTGTAAAATGGAGAAAAGGCTATATAGATATTTCAGTCATATACCTTCTGTCCTTTTCAATTATTCAACAATCAGATCAGTGAATTTCTTTAAAAACATCATAATCTGACCCATCTTGAAGAATTCATTATCTTTGTTGTTGTTGTTGTTATGTGCCATCCAATCTTTTACGACGCATAGTGACCCTATGCGTACAAGAGCTCTAAACACTGTTCTACCCTGTGCCAACCTAGCCATCTCAAACACACTCATTCCCACTGCTCCAGTCACAGAATCGATCCATCTCATCAAAGGTCTTCCTCTCCTTAGCCGCCCCTCCACTCTCCCAAACATGATGTCCCTCTCCAAGGACAATTCCCTCCTTGCAACATGCCCAAAGTATCTCAGATGAAATTTCAGAATCCTTGACTCCAAGGAACATTCCGGCTTTACCTTCTCCAGGACAAACCTGTTTGTTCTCCTAGCAATCAATGGTATATTCAACACTCTTCTCCAGCACCAAAGCTCAAAGGCATCAATTCTCTTTCTATCAACCCTATTCACTGTCCAACTCTCTTGATGCACAGCACGTAATTGCAAAGACTATAGCCTGGATCAGGCGCACCTTAGTCTCCAGCCTGACATTGTTGCTCTCCAGTACTCTTGAGAGCTCCCTCAAAACCCACTTTTCCCAATGCAATTTGTCTCTTGATTTCCTGGCTGCTGTTACCAAGAGTGTTGATTGTGGAGCCAAGCAAAATAAAACTGTTAGCTATCTCAATCTCTTCACCATCCATATTGATGCTGCCAATTGGCCCAGTGGTAAGAATCTTTGTTTTCTTGACATTGAGCTTCAATCCATATAGGAGGCTAAAGTCCTTGACCTTCTGCAGCAAGCGCTTTAGGTCTTCCTCAGTTTCAGCTAGCAGGGTTGTGTCATCTGCATAACGCAGGTTGTTGATGACTCTTCCGTCAATCCTGATGCTACATTCCTCTTCATACAGCCCAGCGTCTCAGATGATCTGTTCTGCATTAAGATTGAAAAGGTATGGAGACAGAATACATCCCTGATGGACCCCCTTCTTGATTCTGAACCATGTAGTGTCTCCTTGCTCTGTTCTGAAGACTGCTTCTTGGTCCAAGTATAGGTTTCGCATTAGCACAATCAAATGTTCTGGGATTCCCATTCTTCTCAGAGTCACCCACAGCTTGTTGTGATCCACACAGTCAAGAGCCTTTGCATAGTCAAAGAAGCACAGATAGAAATTCTTCTGGTATTCTTTGCTTTCTGCCAAAATCCATCTAAATTTAGCTGGCAGTTCTCTGCTGACATATTGTTCCAAACGTTTTTGGATCATTTTCAGCAGAATCTTGCTTGCATGTGGTATTAACGATATTGTTCGATAATTTCCACACTCTGTTGGGTCACCTTTCTTTGGAATGGGAACAAGTACCGATCTTTTCCAGTCAGTGGGCCAGCTGACTATTCTCCAGATTTCATGGCACAACTTAGTGAGCACATCCAGGGTAGTGTCTGTCTGTTGAAATATGTCAATTGGTATGCCATCAACTCCTGGAGCCTTGTTTTTTGCCAATTCTTTCAGGGCAATTTGAACTTCCTCCTTATCACCATAGGCTCTTATTAATATGTCATTTCATGAAATTCATTACAGTTGTACTTAACTTTAAATTGAAGTCATATTGGCTACATCATAAGAGACTCACAGCAGCACGGTATGTTCAGGATCAGAATCACAGAAGTCCTGATGGCTTGGGACTCAGGCCATCACATCAGGGGCCGGTCAATGGGAGATAAGTATTGAATGCTGTAGGCAAAAGTAAGAAGGGATAGTGGTGGAGGAAGGAAGCATGGGTGGGCAACAACATTGAATCTATTGGTCATTGCTATAACTGGGCAATTGTCTTTCATCTGCTCATTTCTATGGAATGCTTGTCTGTTAGATACTATTATATATTTAAAGATTGAGAAGGACTAGGAAGAAGGATTGGTCATCCACTTCCAAAAAAAAACAGGCCTTCAAAAACCCTATGTACATTATCTTTAGCAATAGTTATTGTTCTATTAATGGTTTTTGTCGCTTGTTTTTTTCCTCCACACACACAGTTCCCTGAAGCCGACTTAGGGAATTAATTCTTTACAGTGCCAGATTTATTTAATCTATTATTGTTGTTCTTTACACCAAAATCACACCCTTTTCTAACTTGTTGGTGTTTAAAAATATTTCTTAAATAATTGAAAGCATGGTGCAACCACTGTGGAAGGTGGTATGGTGTTTTCTCAAAAAGTTGCAAACAGAGATACCATTTGACCCAGCAATTCCACTACTGGGAATATACCCTAAAGAGACCAAAACTGACATCCAAGCAGATATATGCACACCCATGTTTATTGTGGCTTTGGTCACAATAGCAAGGAGTTGGAAACAACCTAAGTGCCCATCAACAAACGAATGAACAGAGAAGCTCTGGTATATTCACACAATGGAATACTATGCTTCATTGAAAAACAAGGAACTCATGCAGTATTATTCAAAATGGGTGACCCTGGAGGACATTATGCTGAGTGAAATATCTCAGTCCCAAAAGGACAAATACTGCATGGTGCCACTGTTGTAAAACAGGGCTGACCTTAGGGTTGGGGAAAGACTGAAAAAGATGGGTTCAAAAATGTATACTGCATTGAAGGAGATGAGGGAGAAAACTGTTTAAAAGGGATACGTGATTTTCCAGCATACAATTGAAACTTTTTTTTAAATGTTTTGAAACATTATCTGACCTTGAAAATGTATCTGAAAATAGTCATCAAATGGTTCTTGTCAAAATACCAACTATTGTATTGCCTTATCATCTAGATGTTACCTCTGTGACATGTGATATGTTGTTGTCTTATTAATGCAAACATATTTGTTTGGACCAAGTAAAAAAAAAAATTTAAATTTAAATTTTTTTAAAAAAGGAATATGTGATTAGGATTAGGTATTTTTGTCATGACAGGAGTCTACAGCGAAGGCTACATGGTGGAGTGGACCTGGGGGAGGGTTTGTAAAACAAAGAAAGAATTTTTATTTTACTTTTCCAAGAGGGTAGTGTACTAGGGGGAAGGGCTGGAAGGGGAGAAAAGTGCAACAATGAATGAATGGAAATCCAAAGTCTCTGTAAAATTTTACTAAAATTAATAATAAATTTAAATAAAACAAAAAAAATAATTCAAAGCAATGGTAAATGTTTAATACCTTCACCAATGCTAGGTAGCCATTAAAAATAATAATAATGCAGTTCTCTAGGTACTAATAGAAAGACATCTCTAAGGTGAGAACAGGTCAAGGGTATCTCAAGATACAGAATATCTGAATGCACAACCATTTATGTGAGGGAGGAAAGAAAACTAATAGGCTATCTTTGGAAGGATGATCAAGCAACCCAGTTTGCCTCTTGGGAGGGGAACTTAGCAGGTAGAGAACTGGAGAGGAAGTATTTAATTCAATACATATCTTTGTATGTTTTGAATGTTGTACCACAGTATGCATTAACTATTAAAAGTATGTAACTAGAT